AATCGTCGAAAACTCCAAGCCTTAAATAGCGCTTTAAAGTGGCGCCACAGGCGTGCATGATGTGCATCTGCGCTGAAATTCTAATCATTTGCATATCTCACCTCCACTAATGCATGTTGTAAATTTCATGTTATTTGCGTGCTTCCTTTCGGGTGTTGCATTTATGGTGGCCAGTGGTGTACATATGACTTCATGATTTAAATTTTATATAACTTTTTCTCAATATCAATAAAAAAATTAATACGGGAATAACATATCATGTCAATTATTCTAACCTTAACAAAAAAGGAGTCAACAGCAGCTATTTACTTAAAATCCTGACATGAAAGAAAAATTTTCAACATTCAACAACATCACATGTAATCACGTGCTTTCTTCAGCATCAGAATAATAATAATACAATTAATGTTTGGCAATGATAGTTTTATTTCATATTTTGTAAAACTTACAAATTTTTTATTAACAAACTCTATGATTCAAAAGCGAGTATGGAAGTGAAGATACTTTTGCCACTTGGAAAAATGAATGTGTAAATTACCGTTTTCATAGTTTTTATTTAATATTTCAGCTGATTTAAGTCGTAAGATGAGAATGGTTGAAACGGCCTCACACGAATTTTTGGAATCTGAGGGCACCTCTTCAAACTCAACTCCTCGCTCCTCCGGAGGAGATGATGTCACAAACAAAAAAAGAGACAGACATGCACAGATTTTAATAATATAGTTAGTTGAGTTTTCTGGCTATAAAACTGCACAAGTAATCACGATTTTAGTTCACAAGCCTAATAAATTTATAGTCCAAATTTTACACCACCTGTTTTTTTTTTATTTTAGAGTATTTGCAAAAAATAAAGCTAATGAAATATAAACATTTACATTTGCATCATGCAAAATTTTATTATCAAAACAAATTGGATATTATTCATCATTTTAGTTGTGTTCATTTTAGCCGTGTTCCTTAACATAATATATTCTTACTTGTATAATTATATCTATTTTATTTAACTGTGTAATAAAATCTTCCAGTTTCATATAAACTTGAGGTTTATATTTTAGTTGTTGCCCAGGTAATAAACACCTAATGACCAGGAAAAGAAAGGCGATTATTTAAAAGCAGAAACAGAGTTGTTAGAACCAGATCTTATTACATACTTCACAAATTTACACAACATTTGTAAAACCTACGAATTTTTTAAAAATATATATTGCACACCCCTTGTAACAAAAATACTCAACAGATACCACAGCTGTAAAGAGAAAAGAAATTAAAAACCCCCTCTTCTTCATCAATATATAACCACATCATTGCAAGAAAATTGTAAGATAAGCCTCAGTTAATAGCCAGTCCACTAATTAACTTATCAAATATCATTCAATGGTGTTTTTCATCTGTTTAAAATCTGGCTTTTTGTGAAAAACAGTTAAAAAGATGCTAAATCTTAATATAGGCTATAAAAGTTTATTTTTAGAGGTAAAATTAAGAAACATTTAAATAAACTTATTTCAATAATATTTATCTAACAAATGAGACCATTATTGTTACACTTGTCTTCTCTTTCTTTTCAGTAAATCCACCATCTTACTCATAGAATATACCAAAATTGCGGTCGTTTTTAATTCTTGAACTAAAATCAGAAATTTTGTCAATTTGATTTCAACTTATTTTAAAAATCCAAGTAACATATAAATAAGAAATTGTATTCCTTTAACTTTCCACTCAGTATGCAGTAATTCCATAAGCATGGTAATTTAAAAAAAAAGATCCTGTTTCCACAGCATTCTCAAAATGCAGTCTTTAACATCCCAATGTATAGGAATTCCATTTGTGATAAATGGATTGTTATTGAAGTATGTTGATAGATTTCAAAGTAAAGTGTTGGTACAAAATACCAAAATCTTTAAAAATATTTGAACATCCTTGTCTTTGTGGTTTACATATATGGTAAATATTTAAATTTTAATGCTGAAGAAGCTTAGTAAATGATTAAAATGGTACAAATTTTGGTACTTACATATCAATGCAACAGATACACAGGTTTTACAGATGAAAATTAATGATGAGATAAGCCACCATTCAATAGATAACATTAATACCACCATGGTACAGTACATGGTAAGCCACCATTCAATAGATAACATTGATACCAGCATGGTACAGTACATGGTAAGATGCCATTCAACTAGAGAACAGGACCTTGTGGTACTACAATGGTACAGGTTTTACAAATGAAAAATAATGATGACATAAGCCATCATTCAATTCACTTGCAAAAATTTACATAAAATTCATAGATTTTACATTTCAATTAGGTATTTATCTCCAAAATCAATCAAGAAATTTACTTACAAGCTGGTTTTTATTTCTTTTCTTCTGGATGAAATTTCATGGCATCACTTTAACAGTAAATTCAAAACATTTGCTACTTTCAAGAATTTTGGGGAAAATCCTTAACTGCAGCAGGAATTTTACCCCAGCTTCTTCCATTGCTGGCAATTTTAAAACTGAATTTAAGGTAAAAAATGTGATTTGCCTGCAGAAATTGTTGAAATTTAATAAAGAGAACACATATGAAAATGGCAAGACTAAAAAATGCTGCTAGACTAAAAAATTGTGGTAAGTATGGTTGACTAAAGATTGTTATGCACATGGTTGATATATTGTGGCGACTTCTATTAAGGTGATTGTGCTAATATGTACCCAAATTTATGGCATCAAACTCGCTATTTCCATTATAAATATTTTATATTTTTCATAGTTTGAACAACTAAAATGGAATTCTTTATTAATCCAAACTGTAAAATATTTTCCTCTGCATTTATTTATTATAATATATACCGTAATTTCGGGTAGATAAGCCACGGCTTATATGTGTGTAAATGCTGAAAATTTAGGTCGGCAGTGTACCTGAGGGAATTTTATTTTTCCTCTGTTCTGAAAACTTCGCTAGTTCAGATCACAAGCTACACACAAGCGAAACGGTAAGAACCCGCTGCAATATTCTACCTTCAGACTGCCCTAAGTGCATTAAGTTCAAAGTCACCTAACTAAGGTAGGTAGCGCTCTCTGTACTTTCGTAATGATGCGTGTACTTTCTACTAAATTCCATGGTTTTGCTCGTGTTTTCCGATGACTTTTTGTTTTAATGGAAACAGCTACGTTTAATTTCCAAGTGCTGTGTTCATTCTTACACGTTTTTACTGCTTTGTAGCTGGCATTTTGCTAGCCTCATCATTCGCGATTTAAAAATATTATTATTATTACAGATTCTTCTCAAAGAAAAAGTTATACAGCTGCTTTTATGCTTTTGGCAGTGAAGAGAGCGAAATTGAAAATCACGCTCCGGATAAAGAATTTCAAGTTGATGAGCGATGCATTCGGCGGTGGAAGTCTGAACAGGAAGAATTGGAGAAAATGCCTAAGAATAACAAATAAGCATTAAAAATTTTGTTGGGACCTAATTGGTGTTTCACGTTCATGAAACGAAAGAAATTATCTGTCAGGACCAAAACAACAATTGGACAAAAGATTCCCGTGGACTGGCTTGGAAAAGAAAAAGAAAAAAAAAAAAAAAAAAGATAGCTCCTTTGGAGTACACATATAGGAAAATAAAAATATAAAAAAAAAAAAAAAAAAAAAAAAATTTGAAAAGAGGGCAAATAATTAATGTGAGCGAAGTGCCCGCTACTTTTGACTGTCCTCCAAGTAGAATTGTTCATTCAATAGACGGGAAAAAATATTTCAGTGTTAACAACCGGGAATGAAAAGACCTCTTATATTTGCGTTTTGGATTGTGCCGTCAATGGAAAAAAGTTAACTTCTTTGATAATTTTCAAAAGAAAAACAATTCCCAAAGGAAACTTCCCTAAAGGAGTATTATTTGCGCCAACGAAAAAGAACTGATGTGCGAAGAAGTGATGTTTGGCTGAGAGAAATTTGTCATAAAAGGAAAGGTGCTTTTTTTCCAATCCCGGAGGACTCATCGTTCTGGATTCATTGCGATCCCATTTAACGGATATGATAAGATCTGAAGCAATAAAACTTAACACCGATGTCTCAGTGATACCAAATGGGCTTACAAAAATTTTACAGCCACTGGATCTCGCTATAAGTGGAATTTTCAAGCATGAACTATGAAAGCAGTGGGAGAAATGGATGCAAAGTAGACTCTATTTCTTCACAAATTCCGGGCGAATGAGAAAAGCTTCGTGTGAGGAGGATGCCTTATGGGTGTCCAACGCATGGCAATTAGTCCGAGATGATACGATCGTCTTTCATTAAATGGAAATCATCGAAAAAGAAAATGAAAGAGAAGATAACATTGCAAGAAGTAATTTAAAATAGAATGATGAAATTGACCTTACATGGTCATTTGTTAAATTTATTTAATTCTGACATCAATGAGTCGGATTTTGAAGGTTTTGTATAAATAAATGTAGTTTAATTTAATTACAGATTTCTGTTTGCTTATCTAATTTACGTATTCCTTTTCATATTATGGTAATTTATGGTGATAAACGAAATTTATCGAACCCATAAAAATAATACCCGATAGAAATCTTCAGAGTTCGTTTTTGGCAAGTTCAAGGTTAAGATGTTTCTTCCTTATTTATTTATATATTACTGATTATACTTATATTGTAAATGTAATAAGATGTTATCGACGATGATTACATCAAGTTGGCAGGACAATTACTGAATATTAAGTGCCATATTTGAGTACTTTGTTGCGGCATATTCGGTGGTGCGGCTTATCCGATTAACTTTAATTTTTTTCAGTCAATTATCATGTGTGCGGCATATACGCCAGGGCGGCTTATCTACCCGAAATTACGGTATAGATATTTTTTTAAGGCACACGTGTTTTGACATATATATTGGTCACAAATGCAAAAAAGGGTTTTATGCAGTAATTTAATATTTACTGATTTTGTACGGAGTTTGATAATTTAGAAAATTTTATCAAAAGATTGAGAAAGAAATAATGAACACAGTATTACTACCAAATGCTTCGATGTTGAATCGTTACTAAGCTGAAATACAGCAGATGAACCAGCTGAGCAACTAGATAACAGGACTTGTGATATCCTCTGTGATAAAGGCCTGGCTTCAAGGGGATGCAGAAACCCAAGGAATTCCACAATATTTTCCTTCATTCCATTTGTATCATTTCTTTGAGTTTCAGTACGAAAAAATAAATCTTCTGATGCTTCATGAAGATAGGTAACCTAAAATTTAAAATAGTTTAAAACTTTTTTCCCCTTTCCTTTATACATCAAAAATAATTCTCTCAAAAAAGATCTAGCTATACCTACATCCACACACATGAATACAGAAGAATAAACAAATATTGAAAAAGAACATCTAAGTAGCAAAGCTATGTGGTCCCTCTCTAGAAACAAATTTTACTTTCTATCTTCTTACGTGGATGGAAATTGAATATGTGTACTTAATTGTCCCCAAATTATGACTTTCTTCACATATACTAATTAATTTCCTTGAATTTTTCAAAATTTACAGATTTATTTTAGTTGAATTCCTGGAATTCTCAAAATGGATGTCGTAAAAGGCTTGGTTGAAGTAATCCAATATTAGAGAACAGCCTATGCATTCTAATAGTTCCAGTACAGAATTAAAAATTTGTAAGATTCAATTTTTATCTTTGGCTTTTTATCGTCTGCTGCTTTACTTAGTTTAAATCGAATTGTCTAAAACTGAGAACTTTCGTTTGATGTTTATTTGAATTTTATGAAAATATTTTATGACATAAACTGCATAATTTATTTCTAAACAAGCTGTTGCTTATGAAGTGGCAGAAAGAGCAGCTGATACTATCATCCATATTTTTAAAGCACAGTATGTTTTTATAGAAACATAAGATTTAGAATAATCATTTTTATCAAAGTCAAATTATGATATAAACATACAACCCTCTAGAGACCGAATTAATGGAAGTTCAATGATTATGTACAAATAATCTGCAGCTATTTCATGGCTGGATAAGTCAGCAGGTTCTGTGGACAAGTAAGAATAATTATATAAACGACACCCAACATTGTGGATACAATTAACAACAAGGGTATGATGTTTATTAAATAAATTTAAGAAGTTTTTAAACAAAAAAAATCAACACATTTTTAACCTAAAATGTATGTTTATGAGTAGCGTATTTTCATTATATCCTTAAAATTCTAATTTAAAATGTAATTGTCAAGAACTGAATCCTAATCTTCAGTAATATAATAAGTAATTATTACGGTTATTAATAAATCCTTCTTATAAAGTAATTGCAAATATTTCAAAAAACTTTCTGTCTGAATGCAAATATTTTTCTGTGCAAATACTTTTAATTTTATATTAATCAAGATTGCACACGATATTATTTATTTGCACTTCAATTCTTACCGTCAGCTCTAGTAGAAGTTACAAATCAACTGTATTTAATTAAGGAATGACCATCTAAGTTTAGAAACAGCGTACCGTAACAGCAATTCAATTATTGGCGGCGTATCTTTCATGTCACTCCCGATTGGCAAGCTACATGATTTTTAATCAGTATTCTGGTTTCGCTAGTAACTTCACTTGGAAATCACGCTTAAACTACGTTGGTTGGTTATTTGACCATAGAAAGAACATGGGAGTTATTTGGTTAAGATGCTTTCATAGAGAACCTTTGTAAAGAGAACCTAGAAAACTACGAAAACCAACTATGCGGTTGGGTTAGACTTCGCAACAAACAATTAGTATTTAACAATCTTCAAATGCTAGGCAATGCTGAGGCTCCAATTAAATTTCCAATTTAATATTTTAGTTGTAAATATTTAAAATATTATTATATTCTTAGACACAAAAAGACGAATTTAAGTTTTGTTAACTCGTTAGTAAACTACGAAGCCGTAGTGCAAATGAATATTCAATTTCTTTTGCAATAATTGTATTCACTTAATATTCTTGGAATATGAGCTAAAGAAGGAATGTTCTCGGAAGATTAAAGAAGTGTTTAAATCAAGTGATATTAGGTTTGTCTTACAAGCTCAGGATCAAAACGATTCTGCAATTGCCAAAGTAGTTGACTTGTAAATGGCTATGAATTAAGCAGATGACTTTTAACCTTACGTTATTCAGTCAGAAAACGTATTCCAAAGGTTTTGTATTGCATGACAATGCATTTTTTCATTATTCAATAACCAATTGGAGAACCGCTTGCATTCCGAAAATAAGTATGTGTACTCAATCGTCCTGCATGTTGCCTTCTTGTGATTTTTTTCCTTTCCCAAAAACTAAAGTTGCCTCTCAAAGGAAAGTTTTTTGACATTGAAGAGACAAAAGGATTATGAAATCTACTTTTAGAGTCGTGCAAAACAGATCTCTACAAGCCTTCCCTTCCATTACATGTTGTGCATTCAGACAAAAAGTTGCATCAGCGTAAATTCTATAATCTATTTTTATTACACTCCGATTACTTTATTAACATACAGTGAATATATACTAAACCTTTTACTTCAGCTTCAGTACTTCGGAATTTTTGACGGAATTGTTGTTTGAACTAGGACTTAGTCAAATTGAATATTTCGATAATCCAATAAATTCAAGGTCGAAGTTTCAATATTTTATTTTTGGAGGGAGGGAATTTTTTTTTTTTTCAGTTTTGGTACATTATCCTACATATATTTGCTTCGATTCTTTATTTTTTCCATAAAAGCGAAAATCTTACGCATGGTATACATATAATGCATAACTTCAAATTACAATTTAATAATATGCAGGGTGGTTACAATTAAATGTCCCCTTTGAAACGGTCATAAAAGGAAAACTACTGGATCAAATGTTATCAAACTTGGTAACCGTGTCTAGGATGTCATGGGAATTTATTTTCCATGAAAAAAAGAAAGTTCGAAAGCTCACCACCAGGGCGGAAATGGCACTGTATGCAGTATTGTTAAACGAAATATGGGTCGGAATCTAACTTAACCTTTTGTTACATGGGTTAAATATGTTGTATACCCTTAAGAAACTCTGAAGTAAGCAAATTATCATTTAAAGGCGTTAAATTTGATAAAAGTCGAGTGTGCCACTTGTGTAAGGGAGGAATTCTTCTGTGAAAACCATGAATTAGCGATTAGAAAATGTGAGATTGCAAATCACTCGCACAAGTGTGTACAATCTGGAAATCGTTTTCTTACAGATCGCTAATTTGTAATTTTTGAAGCCTGAATTCGGCCCTTAAAGATACTGATTCAAAACGTTATTAATCGATTTGGGCCAAAGAAATCCCTCATGTTATCTACCTAGTTTCATTACATTCTCCTACTGCATTCGATTGCATAGCAGTGACCATTTGGTGTGGAATGACAGCTAGTTTCATAACTGAAATATTTTTCTCTGAAGAGCAGTCAACAGCTGGACCACTGTAATTGCAGCTCACTTAGAGTCAATGTTAAAATGTTTTGTGATACATGAACTGCAGTAACATGGCATTTTACATACTATGATTTTTATGCAGGGCTAGGCCCCTCCTCACATGTGTAGCACAGTTATTTAGGCAACATTTCACGAATAAACATCTTATAGGCCGACACTTCCCCTCTTCCCACCAGACCTCAACCTCTGTGACTTTTGGCTATAGGGTTACCTCAAAAGCACTGTTTATGGTGATAATCTAAACAATTTGGCAGAAATGAAAAATGTGATACACCGACATGTCAGTAACATTCTTCCTGATATGCTAAGAGCTGCTGTTGAGAATGCAGTAACAGGATTTAAATTGCTTTTGGAAAATACTAGACACTACACCGAACATGCTTGTAACACATTTCGGAAACGATTAAACACATTTTAAACCGATGTTTTCATGTCTTATTTCACTTCAAAAATATTGCATATGGCACCATTTTTTTCCTGGTGGTGAGTTTTAGAACTCTTTTTTTTTTTTTTTTTTTACGGTGGAAAATAAATTCCCATAACCTCCTTCCCACCATGGACAGCGCAGTGGCCGACCACCTGCACTTAACGACCAAGACCAGCGACATCCGTAGAGTTGTCATTGTTCACAGACAAGCAACACTGCACCAAATAACTGCAGAAATCAATGTGGGATGTACGAGGGACGTGTCCGATAGAAGAAGTTCGCCAAATGAACTATTCTTGGCGCAACTGAAAAAAAAAAGCGTCAACATAACCTGTTGAATTTCTCCGTAAATTTCGCACCAAATTTTACAAAATTTAGTATCTAGGCATAATTTGAGTCATAGAATCGAAATATGAAAAAAAAAAAAAAAAAAAAAAAAAAAAAAAAAAAAATGTATGTTATTTTAGAAAAAGTCTGATTTTGTGTCAAAATACCTATGTTAGAATAGTGTTATATATAAATCTAATAGATATCCTAAATCACGCTTTCGAGACATAAAGAACACAATTTGAATTTCGTGAATTGGCCCAGTAGAACGGGAGATACAGAACAGTCCCATTTTTTTTTAGCAGTGTACATTCATGATGATGTAAACAGATGGTAAAATTTGTTTAATTGGCTTCTTTTTTTGTTTTTGGATCTTACACATCCCTCCTTGGGAAGTGTATACATCTCCTCAGACATCAGAGATGTACACATGCCAGAATCCAAGTTTCATTGTTCATGTACCCCTATATTACTGTACTATTGCATCGCTGTACCTCTGTATCACTAAGTCCCAGCATATACTCCCAAAATCCTATGTAGAAGAACATACCATTCAACTGGAGTACACAAGATCACATATACATAAAACATTGCATATAATATAATACTTATATAATAATATGACAATATCCATAATTTCATATAACAACATTTAATATCTTACAGAATAGTTAGTAGCATTTTGTTACCATCCATACACATAAACAAACCTTTAACAGTAATTCTTGGTTATTATAATAGAGAACACACATACAATAGCTTTTTTTAAATCACAATAAGAACAAGAATAATATATGCATGTTTCTATAAAAGGTATATACATAAGGTTAACTCAGTTTGCTCTATTATGATGCCATCCAGTCACAGAGCTGTTGCTGGAAAATCTGGATAAAGCATCTCTGTTTCCATGCTGTTGTCCATTTCGATAAGAAATCCTTACTTTATATCTTTGTAAAGCCAACGCCGAACACACAAGCTTGGATCTGTGAAGTTAAGTCTGTGCTAGATACAATACCGGATTATGGTCAAATACGACCTGAACTTCTGCTCCAA